CCCCAGGACACTGTCCACGTCATCAGGAGTCACAGAGTCAAACTCCTCCCAAATAACGGTCTCAAGACCTGCTCCCGTCACCTCCCCCGGGGCCACCCAGTCGGAGTCCAAACCCTCTCGGATCCGAGCGACTTTGTCATGCAGATACTGTGCAAACTCCTCAGCCTTCCCCGCCAGGTGGTCCCCCCCCCAATTGGAGGAGGGAGCGGGTCACCCTGAAGAGGGAGGCTGGGTGATTATCTGATGACGCAATGAGGCTGGAGTAGTAATTAGTCCTCGCCACCCTCATCGCCACAAGGTAGGATCTGATATGACTCCTTACCTGTGTTCGGTCGGATTCGGTACATTAACTACAGTGCATTCAGAAAGTATTCAGACCCCCCCCTTCACTTTTCTCAATTGTGTTATGCTACAGCCTGATTCTACAATTGTTGAAATTCATTTTTTTCTCATTAGTCTACACTCAGTATCCCCACAATGACAAAGTAAAAACAGATTTTTAGAAATGTCTGTAAATTTATTTTAAAAAACCTGAAATATAGCATTGGCATAAGTATTCAGACATCTAATTTTTTTAAACAAATAATTTCCTCTTATAATCTAAAGCTCCATAATTGGTTTTTTTTAATTAGTTAACAAATGCTCACGAATTACAGAAGGCAGAACTTGATAGAGAGAAGGAGAGAGTGCAAGCAAAAGCTCAGGTAAGATTCTATTCAAAAAAATTAAACGATTAGATAAATCTTTTTTTTTTCAGTCTGCCTCTCCTAAGTCTGGAAAACAGACTGTTGAGATGATATCTGTACAAATGTTATGCCCAATATTTCACTCTTCAAATTTCCTCATTAACATTTATTATTTCAAAAATCATGCTTCAATTTGCATTTGAACTTCAGAACTAATTTTATGCCAGCAGGCCTCCATCATCAAATTAAATAATAATATTGATGTATATTTGGGTAAGATGTGTATTGCCTTTGAAAACTGGAATTTTCAAAGCAGCTTAGTGTAGTGTTTATTGTGGAGAGTATATATACTATGGTAGATTTCCTAATATGTCAAGGCCCATGAAAAATGTTACTTTGTGTGTTTTGTAGCAATAGCAATAGTATTTAGACTTATAAACCACTTTAAAGCCCTCTCTAAGCAATTTACAGAGTCAGCATATTGCCTCCAACAGTCTGGGTCCTCATTTTACTTACTTTGGAAGGATGGAAGGCTGAGTCAACCTTGAGCTGGTCAGAATCAAACTGCTGGCAGTCGGCAGAATTAGCCTGCAATACTGCATTCTAACTACTGCGCCACCAGGGCTCTTATGTTTTTATGTTTTTTCTGAGCTATATGAAAATGAATACATAGTGATCTCAGAAATATTTTTTTTTCTTTGACCATTGGGATTACCTTCACTATTTACCATTACATAGATAAAAAAACATCTCTATAAACTTTTCAGTATTTGCACACTATATCCAGTTCAGTGTTGCTTAAAACAATTAATAGTCCTGATGGTTCTGATTGTGCTTTTAATTTTTTTTATTTTTTCTCTCCTCTTAAGTAACTTGGTTTCATGCTGGTCAATACCAATTTGTTTTGTTTCTAGCAGGTTAAATGTCATATTGATTATAAAATACATTAAAATCAAACACATCTTGATTCATTTTTTTAAAATTTGCCAAAGAATGTGGCTGTTCAGAGTAGAAGATGTTATGAAGAGTAAACCAAACCTGCTAAATATTCACTTCCTTTTTGCAGTTACATTCTGAGCCTAATTACAACTGATTTGTTCATTCTATTTTGTTAAGCTCAGCACCATGTAGGTCCTTGAGCAAAAGATCAAACCTGGGGAGAACCATATAGTTTCATTATAAATCCGTAAAGAAAAAGAAAAGGACAAGGATTTTCAGAGCTATTGCAGCACAGAGAAATGAATGAAAAATACTCTGTTTATTTTATATTTTTATAAATGGCCAATATGCTGCCATTTTGTTTTTAAGATAATCTATTCTTTCCAGAACAATGAAGAGTTTTTTTAATATTGCATTATGGTAAACAATGTTGGGGAACTAATGAACATTGGGATCATTGAACTGTGATCCCAGCAGCTCCAGCATGAATGACTGATGAGGGATGCTTGGAACTGCAGTTTTGTAACAACAGAATAGTCATATTCCAGTTATAGACAATATCCAGTGAGCATTTTACACAGCAGTTTCTTTTAGAAATTACATCTCAGTTCAAGTTAGAAAATCAGATATCTGTTCAAAATGATATGTCTAATTGCAGTGTTACACTATACAAAAATAAAATAACTATGAAGCTATTTCCCCAATATTGCCTTATGGATAGTAATCATTACATAGAACAATATTATAATAAAAACTATCTCATAAAATTTGGAAGGATTGGGGTTTATTTTTATAAGAAGGAGGAGGAGGAATTATTTTATCTACCCTTGATTTTAAATATTCATTTTAATTTTCTTCAATCTGATATGTTTGCAATTCTTTCATCTAGCAAGTTTAAAAGAGCTCACCCAATAACATTGTATTGCAATAGAATTGTGATAAATGTAGTGATAAATAAACTAAAATCTTTTATGGTTAAAGAAGTTAATGTTGATTAAAAATCATAAATATTGGGTTTATCGTATTGATGTTGCTAATTTAGCAATATTTGCTAGATTTATTAAAACAAGATGAATTAATTTCTGTTTTTTAAGAAATAAGTTACTAAAATACGTTATTGTTAAATATTATTGTAAAATATTTTTGTCCTTAATTCTTTGTAAGTGCAGGAAAAGTCTCATGTAAGAACACTACTGATTATATTGGAACTTAATCAAGCAAAATAAACATCTTCCTTCTAGTGCTAGAGATTTCAGCACCACATTTGTTACTGCAATGATGTTTAATTCTATTTTATATTTATTTTTAAGGAACTGAAAGAAGCTCAAGATGCTCTTGCAAAATTAAAAGAAACTGGAGCTCAGCCAGTAGCAAAGGTAATTTGGCCTGTTGATGTGAATATATTTTATTTTATTTTATATATAGTCCTCAGCTTATGACTACAAGCAAGATCAGAATTTCCACTGTAATTAATTGTAGTTGTAAGTCAAGTTGGACCCAACGTTACAACAATTTTTAGAGCGATTGTAAAGCAAATCATTTGGTCATTGAGTCATGCTGTTATTAAGCAAATCCAGTTTCCCCAATGGGTGGGATTTTCCCCCCCAGAAATCAGTAAAAAAAAAAAAAAAGGTCACAAAAGACACTATTAAGTAGAAGCCAGTCATCAAGTACCCGAATTGTGATCACATGACTATGGGAGTGGTACATTGGTTGTAAGTACTTTTTCTGAGACCATTATAACTTTAAACAGTCATTAAGCAAATGGTTGCAAATCAACCATTTGCAACCATTTGCTTAATATTTAATATTTTATTTTCCTGTTTTTGAATTAAATGCATTTTAGCTCCTTACTCAAATTTAATGGAAAATAGGAGTGATTTGCACAGATTACTTGAAGACACTCTTATACAATATTCTGTGCTACAAAACAGATGAAGGATCTTACCAAAGGAGGCCAAAGGTTCTGTCTAGCCCAGTGCTATTTCCAGCTGTGGCCAATCAAACCTTTCCACTGATAAGGCATGAAGCTAACAGACTGCCTTTGTTTGCTATTCACAAGTCTGATTAAGGACATTAAAATCCATTTAGCTAATAGCTACATCCAAGATTTTGGAAATAATTGCACAAGGATACATAAATATTAATATATAAATATATATTCTTACATGGAAGATATACACTAGATATAAATAATAAAGTAATCCTACCCACATGGATGAGGAAAACAATGGAACCACATGCTTTATAATTTGTTAAAAATAGGAACCACATGCTTTATAATTTATTAAAAATAATTATAGAAATATAAATTGAAATCAGAGCATGGAAGCTGTTTGCTGAGGATTGGGCATGATGATTGAAGACAATGGGAAACGTAAGTGTCTCAAAACATGCCTTGCTCCAGATTTGTTTCCAGTTGCTTCTCAAAAAATTATGAGTAAAGTTAGAAGTTCAGATTATACGGCTTAGCACCTGAAACTCTATCAAGACATCATAAAACATTGTGCAATGGCCATATTTCTTTCAGCAAAAAACCCAAATATTTACAACTGATCGCTTTATTATAAAATCTCATTGGTTATGGTTCTTTAACCAGCATGTTCCAATATATGGATGAGTCAGCAGGTGCTTTAAATAATGAAGGATTGTTTTTGTATTCCTTCCTAAAGATATTCTTAATATGGAGCTGATAAAACTGTGTTTGACTAAAGGCTACTGTTATCCTATATCTTTCTCAAACTTCAAATAATGGCACACAGCAAGCAAGTGCTCAGAAGTTAATGTCTAAATCCATGTATAACTCACCTGCTCCTTTGATGCTGTATTGGCTGCAAAAGGAATTTGCTTTCCTTTATTAATCAAACCTATATTTGTAAAAGTGTGACATGTAGTGGGAAAGTCACACATGCTGAGATTAGCTGGACTGGAAAACAGTCCCCAAAGAAAGGAGAGAAATATGATCAGTTAATTATAATGTGGTAAATAGTTTTGAAATATCTGTGATTTGTTTTCAGATAAAAAAAGTAATTTGTTATCAAGATGTTTGTTTGCTACATTTAAGAGGGTAACTCAGTAACTAATATATCAGTGTCATTATTCCGTTAAACATGCGTTCCTAGTGAATCATTTTGTAGTATCAACTAAGAGTTATAGCTCTAGGCCCTGACCTAAGAGAAGGTACACTTTGCTTTGAGCTTGATGTGGTTTAAAGCCATTATGAATGGACTTTATGGACTTAAGAATGGGAGGGGATGACTTGAACTGGGACTGAAAGACCTATTTTAAATTTGGAAAATTTTTATTATTAATATAGCAAACCTAGAAAGAGAGATAAACGAATTTTTGTCTATATAAAAATTATTTTTCTTTGAAAGACATACATTTTAAAGATAGGAATCATACTTTCTTCCAGTTCATTTACTTCATTTTAATTCATTGTATGACAGTCCTGCATTTATGTATTTGGAAGTCAGCTCTTCAAAATTTATTTTGAATCCCAGGAAATGACCACATGTTTCCAGTTTTACCATAGAAAAATGCATTTTAAAAAGCAAAGAGCATAAGGAGCTGTGGGCAGAGATGAAGTGAATAATGATTCACCCTATCTGACAAATGTAAAGGTGAAGATTTTCTGAGTCAGCACTGTTTCGGGAAACAAAGCATATATTGGTGAAATGAAGTGAGAGATGCTACATCTTATAACTAGAGGAGTAGGTAGCAGCTGTGGTTAGGAGGGACTTTGCATAGTTTTGTCTGGTATGCCAATTGCACCCCTCTTAGATGGGACACCTTGTTTGTAATCATTGATACCTTGATCACTTTTCATATGGATTCTGCAATGCACTATACATGGGGCTTCCTCCTAAAAGCTACAATTGGTCCAGAATGTGGCAGTGTGCATAGTGATAGGTGCTCCTAGGTTTGCCCATGTAACACCTCTGTTGTGTGAACTGCATTGGTTCCCAGTTTCCTTACAGGTGTAATTCAAGGTGCTGATTATTTGAAAATTTTATATGGCACAGTGTCAGTTATATGAGGTATTGCCTCTCCTTAAGATCACCTATCTATCCTACAAAGTCAAATAGAATGGGCATTCTCCTAGTCCCTTTTCTTAAACATTGCCACCTTATGTGATCTGGGGAGTGTACCTTTTCCATGACATTCTTTCTCTATGGAACATCCTTCCCCCATCCTTCCCTCACAGCCTTCTGAAAAGTACTTAAAGGCCTGATTTTTTCCCCCCAAATGCTGAGATAGGGTCAGTCTGATGGACTGAATGTGAAAGTGTACTTGGTGCCAGATTATAAGTTTGGTGGTTTTAACAGATATAAGTATTAATGATATATCGATGTTTTTGGGAAATCACCCAGAGTTTGATATATTATTATTATTATTATTATTATTATTATTATTATTATTATTATTATTATTATTATTTATATACCGCCCTATCTCCCTTACGGGACTCAGGGCGGTGAACAGGCGATAATAAAAAACCACAATAAATATACACAAGTTTCTGTTCTAAAATCAAATTAAATAACAGGCCTGCTCTAAAAGTACCCCATACAAAACACCCACTAAAACATAATCAAACTACGCCAGGCTGGCCGCACGGAATAGATGGGCCTTCAGGGCTCGGCGAAAAAGGCGCAGGTCCGCAACTGTACGTAGGTCGGGGGGTAGGTCATTCCAGAGGGCAGGAGCTGCCACAGAGAAGGCTCTCCCCCTGGGGGTCACCAGCCGGCATTGTCTGGCCGACGGCACCCTAAGGAGGCCCTCTCTGTGGGAGCGGACTGGTCGAAGG